TTTGGGCGCTTTGGTTCCCCAGGTAGTTCCTTTTTGGATAGTATACTATAATTCCTTATCAAAAAACCATAGCAAACCCAAAAAGGAACTACATTGGAGCCTCTGGGTATGTAGGCCCCCTAGATGCCTGTGTTCAGGTCGGGGCCGTCGAGCGGGCGATCACAGCAGTGCAGGGCGTGGAGAGCTTCGGCTGAGATTGGTTTGGGGTTTCGGGTTTGGGGCTTCGGGGATTCGGGTTTAGGTTTGGGGTTTCGGGTTTGGGGTTTGGGGTTTGGAGTTTACGGTTTGGGGCTTCGGGTTTAGGGTTTGGGGCTTCGGGGATTCGGGTTTAGGGTTTGGGGATTGGGGTTTGGGGTTTAGGGTTTGGGGCTTCGGGGATTTGGGTTTAGGTTTGGGGTTTGGGGATTCGGGTTTGGGGTTTGGGGCTTACTAAACCCCAACCCTGAAAATCTAGTGCTGAAACCCCAAACCCTAAATTAGGGTTTGGATTTTCAGGGTTGATTTTAGGGGTCGGAAGAACTGCAATACTATACCTTCGGACTCCTTATCAAACTTGTAGTATCATATACCTCAAAACCTCACTGCAATTCTTGAGGCCGTGATATCATCATGGGCCGAGCGTTTGGATGTTCGTGTCGAGAATTCCGGCGTATGTGTCAGGTGTTGCTGTTGAGGGATTTACGGTTTCATGCTTTCGATTCGACCAGTTTGGAGATTTGCCACGCATATTTCATTCAACACCACAACCTGCTTGTGCTATAGAGAATTTGGCAAGGTCTGCAAGCGAATGTAGCAAGCACTAAATAAGTTGGCAAGGAAAACTGAAAAAAACCCTAAAAACCAAACCCTGAACCCTGAACTCTAAACACATACGGTAGAAGCAGAAAAGCTGGAAATCCAATAGCCTCTATCCTTAAGAGTAGTGTATATAGTATAGGGAATCCCAGCACCAGTTGTCCTTAATCCGGTTTCCAACTTTTTGGGGCTTACTGTAGCACCATATAACTTACAAAGGATCCTCGCAAGAAGGGCTTGAAGCCTTGAGACCCAAACTCCAGGCTCGGTCCTGGTTGGTGTTTTCCATTTGACCGGCTTTGGTTAAGGGCTTAAGCTTCTTTTTTTTTTTTTTGAAATTTCAATTCCCCACGGATTAGGGCTGGAGGTTGTCATTCTGCTATACCCTTAGAGAGACAGGTCTGCAGACGTCTCCCTGACTGCTCACAGGGCGGAGGCATGCTGGGAGGGTTTAGTTCTGCACCCGAACAGGTTTTGAGTTTTGATATTCGTTTCGATGTCTTCGATGCCAATCACCTGTTCGATAGATTTCGGCAGCCTGCTTCTCTTACTCGCGGGGATCATGCGAGCGTCTTCGGCCAACACTGGAATCCTTGAAGAGGGAAGGATGGTTGGGTTGTACGTGGGCCCTGGTCTAAGCAGGCAGCCTCGCGGCACTTGGGGAAAACTGGAGGCTTCTATCTCTCATGTTAGCTGGATAGCGATTACCAGAACGCCGTTTGCCTCTTCAACTTGATGCAACTCTCCTGTCTCCCTCCGCGACTTTGTAGGGGAGGCTTGTGAAAGCTCAAGCCTCGCGGCACTCGACACCGGGATGTGTAGTCTCTATGAATTAGGGTCCCTTCCTAGGTCCCCAACATAGTACTGCACCCTTATAAAAACAGGACCCTGAATGGGACCCTAATTTAGAGAACTACCCCCACTTGGAGGTTCATGGGTAGTTATAAGTAGGGTAACTATAGTTATAACCCATATTAGGGGACTTATAACCCCACTTATAACTACCCATGAACCTCCAAGCACCGACCCTGCATCCCCTGTCGTTTTCTTCCTGAGCCGTGGCCACTTGGAGGTTCGGTTTCGTGCGCCGGCCCAGGCCGCAAATATCGCCCTCTCCTCGGATCTGTCCAGAGAAATTGATAAGGAAAGTAGGTCGAGACGGAGAGAGGGAAACACCAAGAAGGAGGAGCATGATTCATTCGGGCTCGGTTTTGCCTTAAGTCTTTCTGCTTTTTTGTTAGTGCATGGGTGAGTTAGAACCTTACGTTTTGTGGCTTAGAGCGGGCACTGGGATCGACTCCATGTGCATATCGTGTCATGCGCATGCATGGCATCGGAACTCGAGGTTTGTGCTTGTGATGAAGTTGGACCATTTCTGTACAAGGACCCTGATACTTGGAGGTTCATGGGTAGTTATAAGTGGGTTTATAAGTCCCCCATTATGGGTAGTAACTATAGTTACTCTACTTATAACCCCACTGTAGACCCCGCAGGGCCCCGCGCTTCCCCCTCGAAACGTCAGGCTGAGGCCGCGTCCAACAAACAAGGCCCCTAAACCCTAAACCCTTATAGTAGCCCTTATGGAGGTCTCTAAGGAACCCTATGAAACCCTATCCTACGGTACCATCATCCCAGGAACGATCCCGGATCTGAGGTTTCTGCCGTGGAAGACATCGGCTTCGATGCCGAATTCCGCAATGAGGTCCTTGCGTTGTTCATACCTGCAACTAAAAATTATACGGTGTATTGGGATTCAGGGTTTAGGGGGGCGAAATAGTCATGGTAAGTAGAATGTCTTGTCAGAATGATTGCTTGGAGGTTCATGGGTAGTTATAAGTGGGGTCATAAGTAGTGTAACTATAGTTATAACCCATATTGAGGGACTTATAACCCCTCTTATAGCTACCCATGAACCTCCAAGTGAGGCCGCCATGCCTTGGTCCTGGCAGTAGTAGGTCAGTTCTGAAACCGGGCTGCAAGATCGAGGAACAGTGCGAATTCAGAAAGCCCGGAAAACCGCCCACCGAACTCTAACAACCTTAAACCTCGAATTCCAACCGCTTCAACCGAAGCCCCGCCAGCCTCAGTAGCCTACCTATAATCTCCATGTGTTTGTTTGGTTAACCATTCTTATTATTAGGATCCTCTGATCTAAATTTGGTTAACCAAAACAGGAAACTAGAATGGAGACTATAGGTAGATTATAAGTCCAGTGACCATCGGGCTGACCAGTCTGAGCTCAGTTTCACTTCCACCGGCCCAACAGTCAGAGGGTTTAGGGTTTAGTGTTTTAGGGTTTTAGGGTTTAGGGTTTAGGGTTTTAGGGTTTAGGGTTTTAGGGTTTAGGGTTCAGGAATTCGACAGTATCCTGAACCTCTTCGATATCCCTTCATACACGTTCCTGAGCTATAACACTCCCAGACCTATCCGACAGCCCTCCATGCATACAACTCCTGATCTTCTTTCTAAACCCTTAAACCCTAAACCCCTAAACCCTAGACCCCAAACCCTTAAATCCTTAACCCTAGACCCTATGAGCCTGCAAGCCCAAGCTGCGAAAACACACATCACAGACCTCAGCGCCCTCCTGCACCAAAGCCCTGCCCAGGGCCGAAAGACCAGGCCTTGTTATAAGGGCTCAGGGATTCTAGCATAGGGTTTAGGGTTTAGGGATGTTTAGGGTGTAGGGGGCCATCAGAATTACCTACACTGTTTTGGGTGTTCCTTGTTATAGTTCCAGTATAGTGTACCCCAAAACCCTATTCTATAAGTATTAATTAAGGCCCCTACATCACATAGGCCCCAATAAGGGTTCTTATACGAAAAGTTCGGAGGCTGTTGGGCCTGAGGGTTATGTCTGCCATGCCCGAGGAGACGAACAAAACCTGTTTGAAAATCCGTCCCGGGGGTTTAGGGTTTAGGGGCGGGGAAGGTTCAAGTCTCCGCGGAACGCAGCGATCGGCCATCCGAGCTGCCCCTTGCACTGACACGGAGAGTTGTTCGTGTTCAAACCATTTGGTTCAGGGTTTCGGATTTTCTTACCAGACATTGGCAGCAGTGGCGATAACCCCATAATATAGCCGAGACCCCATTTCTCTGCATGAAACCAATTAATGGTATGTGGTTTCCGTCTGGCTCTGGGTCCTCGAGCCTGCGCGAGACAGAGAGCGAGAGGTTTCTGGGTTTCTTTGGCGGCTTCTATTCTTCGCACTTCTTTCGACGGCAACTTGAAGGCGCTGGATTTGGCATTTCCAGGGGGTTCCAGGAGAGACTGAGGATGGAGAGGCAGGTGTTCTCATGCAGGGTTTCTTTCAGGGTTATGGAGGTTCATGGGTGGTTATAACTGCGGTTATAAGTAGAACTATAGTTATAACCCATATTATTAGGGGGCTTATAACCCCATTTATAAACTACCCCTAAACCCTATAGAACCCTTTAAAGGAACCCCAAATAACCCCACTTAGAACTACCCATGAACCTCCAAGCAGGGTGACAAGGGCAGGATGTTCCGACGCATGGGTCCTCCAGGCTGCATGGTACGGGGGGTACTAATAGTATCCCAGGCTTCTCTCTGCGGCGTTCCTGCCGGGCTTGCTATTGTTGAGATGTGGGGTGGCTTGGGTTCAGAGTGCTACTGGGTCGAGTGCTACGAAATATAATCTGTTCAAGGAAAAAGAGAGTGTGTGTATATATATATATATGTATGTATCTGAATACCCTAAACCCTAAACCCTAAACCCTAAACCCTAAACCCTATAAACCCTAAACATACATGTATCTGAATACACTCCGGTTCCAGGTGTGTGGCTCTCCGCGGCGGCGCCTCCGAATCGGATCTCCGCAAGGCCAACTTCCCACGCCGTTTTTAGGGTTTGGGCTTGGGGTGTTTAGGGGTTTAATGGGTTTAGGGTTTAGGGTTTGGGCTTGGGGTGTTTAGGGGTTTAATATAGGGGCCTAAATGATTACCAATACTATTCTGGGGGCTCCTTATTGTAATCACTGTATTATTTTACCCCAAAGCCCCATTCTAATTATTAAGGCCCCTATATTAGGATTAGGTCTGGGGGTGTGTCTTTGGAGGGGTTCTGGGGTTTTACCTAGGCTTCTTCAGGAGTCCCAGGTTTAGGACGACAGGGATTTCGGTAGGTGCAAGATTTTGGGTGAGTCGGGTCTAGGGTTCGTTTAGGGTTTGTAGGGTTTTGGGTTTATAGGCTTTAGGGTTTATAGGGTTTTGGGTTTATAGGCTTTAGGGTTTATAGGGTTTTGGGTTTATAGGCTTTAGGGTTTAGGAGGCAAGGGAGCAAGCAGGCATGTGAAGATTTTTGGCGCGAGAGTTGCAAGCTGTACTCAGAAGTGGAATGTGGCATCAATATCTGCACATGTCCCCTGGGCGTGGCTCCCGGCTGATTGTATAGAGCTCGGGGTTCAAAAAGGGTTCAGGGTTTATCCCCTAAACCCCTAAACCCTACAGGGGCCAAACTTAACACCTTAACACAAAAAGCCAAGAACATGCTGGAGCCCCTGGGGCCAAAACCCGTAGCAACTACCATTTTTTTAAAGAAGGGTTCCTTCAAAACCTTTGTTTTTACCGACTATCAGGGTTTGCAATGAGGCCTTCCAAACAGGGGTTATGGTATTTTAAGGCAAACCCTGTACCCAAAACCTTCCCGCAAAGTGTCTGCAAGCAGGCAGCTTCCGTTGTGCATGGAGCAACTCGACCGCACGGGATGAGCATTCTCGAGGTTTGTGGAGCTGACATGTTCAGTGCATTCGGGGCTTTCTAGGTAATCTTTAGGCAATAAGTCAATGAGCGCGACCATAGAGTTTGTCTCTAGTCCTGCTGCTGCTGCGACGACGACGACGACTACTACTACTCCTGCTGCTGCTGCTGCTGCTGCTGCTGCTACTACACCTCGTACTCTTGCCACTCATTTGTCGGAAGCAGAGGCCTCCTAATTCTCTTCTGATGGGCTCATGCCGGCTGCCTCACGCACTGGCAACCTTGCCTTCCACTCGCATGCAGGAGTGAAGCTCGCCGGGCTACTCCAGCAGAATTGGCACTTTCTGAGCAGGCCCGGCCTGGGACACCGGCGGCATCATAGGCAGAACATGGCCAGAATAAGCGTGGCATTGCGCATTTTTAAGTGCAGTTGGGTCTCGCTGTAAAGACACGTATCCGTTGCATTTGCAAAGCACCCAACATCTGCTGCTGCTGCCGCCACCACCTACTACTAGTACTAGTACTAGTACTAGTACTAGTACTAGTACTTGCTACTGCTGCTGCTGCTGCTGCTACTACTACTACTCCTACTCCGTTGAACGATCATCACATGACTGCATTGTTCTGATATGTTCAGAACCTCAAAACCGCCCCCCTGCCGCACTGATGTTTGCAGGTTCTTGGTGCCATACGTGGGCCATCACACGCAGGAGCAGAACTTACCAGTAGAGCTGGCTATGCCTCTTGCAACGGTTCGTGCGGGGGCCGAAGGCACTTGAGAAATTTCGACGGTGTCGACTGGCCCAGATGCAGCACATTACTAGACCTGAAGCCTCCTTAGCTTGATTCGCGCTGGAAGGAAGTCATGTACAGCAACCTGGTCGTCTGGAGCTTGGCGATGTTGAAAAGCCTGGGCTTGTAGCTGTCGCCGCGCGCTTTTGCTTTCGGGCTTCGGTGCTTGAATGCCTTGTGCATCGATCTCAAACACACATGCAGCTGCATGTCTGTACAGTGCATTCTTGAGCTTCGAAGCAGGGTCTGTAAAATCATCGTCCTCACATCCTACATCTGGCTATTGTTATCTTTAGTAGGGCATATCCCGGATTGGGGGTACAAGCTGGTATCGACAGAGGTAGTATTCACAGAAGCCTGGAGTTGATAACCTGTGATAACTCTGACGCTGACAAGACTATCACTCGTTATAGAAACGAGTATCAATGTTAGACAACTTGCCTGAGAGAAGGGTATCAAGCCCCGTAAAACCCTGTAGAACCTGAAGACGAGGGGGCTGGGTTCGGGCTAGAAGGGGTGTTGCGGGGAGCAGTTTTGGGTTACTTAGGGACCTAAGGTGTGTATCCTCATAAGGCTTACTTCAGGGCATTTACATCTCCCAGGTCATGACGGACCTCGAGCTCCTGCGGATCTCCTTCTTCCGACCCGGCTCGGAGTACTTCCGCTTCTACAGGCAGCCGGGGGTGAGTTGGAGGCAGAAAGGCCTTTCGGAGTCCGGGGTTGTCATGGTTTCGGGTTTGAGGGTTTTCGCCACGGTTTTGGGTTTAGGGTTTAGGGTTTAGGGGGAGTTTGAGCCCTAAGCCCTAAGCCTACTTGACTTTATACATCAGGTACGCAAAGTCATGCATGCAGCACAAAATGTCGCAACTACTGCCTCAGAGACATTGAGTCTTGAAGCCGCTAATATGGGTGCCTAAATAATTACCAATACTATTTTAGGGTTGCTTACGATAGCTATAGTAGAATATACCCCAACACTCGATTCAGATTATTAAGGCTCCTACACTAGGGTCTTCCAAGACCAACCTGACTGCACAGGTACTTGGATGAGTTGGGAGGCTTTTGGGAGCACCGCTGGGGCGTCAGGAGCTCAGGTTTTCAGCCTGCACAGCACCTTTCAGGAGACAAGTTTGATGGTTTTTTTCCGGGGAGCAGTTCTAGGGTACAGAGTGGCGGGGCTTAGGGTTTTGATTTGAGGCATAGGTGCCTGACTCGCGAGATGAGAGTTGGGGATATCGCACGGTATGGAATGCTTAGGAATACGATTACTTATTCTTTTCACCCCGAAGTCCCAAAACCCTAAAGCCCCAAACCCTAAACAGGAAACCCTTAACGCTAAACCCTAAATCCTAAACTCTTAAACCTAAACCCCGAAACCCCAAACCCTGTCCTGGGCTTTGGAGTACCATACTTTAATACTTTTTTGGGGACCTTTTCCTTAAAGGAACCATCATGAAAAAAAAGTCGAACCATCATGAAATATGAGTCTATACTTTTTTCTCCCTGGTTACTTCAAAGCCCAGTATGACTCCCACCGAGGACCATGCGGTACGGGGCCTCGGCGCCGGTATCGCGCTCCTGCCGCATGAGAGAGATCCAGCCGAGGCCACGGTCGTTTCAAAGGGTTCAGAAGACGAGGGTTTAGGGTTTTGGGTTTAGGGTTAGGGCGGTGAAGGTTGAGGGTTCAGACTGTTCGGGTTGAGGGTTTAGGGTTGAGGTGAGATGATCCCAGATAAGAGCCTTTCTATACTACCTTCATCCCACGTTTTTTGAGCTGTTTGGGATCAGCCGACATGTGTGGGTTAAGGGCTTAGCAGGTGTAGTCAGGGGTTCAGGGTTTGAGGGTTTCAGGTTTAGGGGTTTGGGGGTCTTACAAGTTCCGATTCCGGTTTGGCTTTTACCTGTAGGCTCATACCCCCGCCTTTTGTAGGGTGTCTACTTCTCTATACAATAACAGATCCTAACCGCAAAACTTCGTACCATGAACAAGGGGGTAGGGTCAAAGCCAGGTAGGGTAAAGGGCGAAAGGACTTAGTAAGAGGGTTTAGGGTTTAGGGTTTGGCAGCTGCCCTGATCGCTGGAGCTGCCCTACTACGTATGACCCTGTACTGAAATCCTGCCGATGTTTCCTCTATGCTGACTAGGGGCTTTCGGGCTTACAGTGACATCATGGATGTAGCTTATCATATTCGAAGGCTATGTCTAGATACGCCATGTATAGGCTCTAAACCCTAAACCTTAAACCGGGTTAGGGTCAGGGTTTAGGAGTTCAAGGTTCTACGGCTTAAGACTGGGCCCTTAATCATATATCGTTTTAAAAGAGCTATACAAATAGGCAGGGTTTGGTAGTTCAAGGTAGTGGTGGGGACTGAACCTTCAACCCTAAACCCTACCTGAACCTCAGATAAGCCTCAAACCCCTAAGCTACACCCTGCGCCTTAAACCTCTAAGCCTCAAACTTGAAACCCCTAAGCCCTCACCCTTAGCATCATGTAATTAGCCCAAAAGGGTCTTTGGGCCCAAAAGCCTGAAAATATGAGCTTTTTGAGGGTAAGGGTAAGCCCTAAACCCTAAACCCCTCGACTTCGTCGTTTGGAGCCCTTTGCATGAAGAATGCCAGAGCGGTGAGCAATGAACAAAGCCGACAGCACCCAAGCTCCATCTGCTTTCTATGGTGAAGCCGCCCGCTAGAATATGGTTTTCGGGTTCAGGGCCCCTTTTCTGTCATTTCAACCACCGAACCGTAACACCCCTACCCCTAAACCCCTAAACCCCCAAGCCTGAAACCCTAAACCCTGAACCCTAAATCCGAAACCCTAAACCCTAAACCCTGAACCCACATCCTAAAGCCTAAACCTGAAACCCTACGGCCTGCATCACCGTAGGCTAGATCCTGCAGGCATATGGGTCGTTCTCTAAACTAGGGTCCCCTGTTAGGGGTCCTTTTTTATAAGGGTGCCGTACTATATCGGGGGAACTAAAAAAGGGACCCTTAGCTTAGAGAACTATCCATGTTGTGACAAGTTCAACGTGTAGGGTTTAGGGTTTAGTGTTTAGGGTTTAGGGTTTAGGGTTCTGGAAGGTCGGGTAGTTGGGTGCACATTTTGATGGCCTGCTGGGAGTAGGTGTCAGGGGGTGGTAAGGTTATGCCTGCCTGATTTCGGGCTAAGAGGGCTCTGGGTTGCGGGTTTTGGGTGTAGGGTTTCGGATTTAGGGTTGAGGGTTCAAGTTTTAGGGTTTAGGGTTTAGGGTTTTGGGCGTCGGGTTCAGGGTTTAGGGTTTCGGAATTTAATGAGCCATGAACGTTTAAAGCTCCAGACTAAGGCTTACGGTTGCGATCCGTGCAACCCTATAAACACTGAAATCCCTAAAGCGCATCAGGCAAATGAGACAACGCCAGCAGCTCGGTGTTCCGGCACTTAGGTTTCTTGGAGCATTTTTGCCCATGGGGGGGATTGGAGCTTGGAACATGGATTATCCGGCGGCCCGTAAATTCCATGTTTGGTTTACGGGGTTAAAGTTCGGCAGCCGATAACCGCTCAACTCCGTCAGCCTTTGCAGATTCGGTTCCAAGTCCACGGCACTGTTCGCTAACGACCCGGGGCATTCATTCTGCTCCTACTGCTACTCCCACTGCCACTACTCCTACAGCAGCAACGACAACGAGCGGCAGTGCTACTACCCCTCCTCCTACTGCTACTACTGCTACGACGACGACGACTACTACTGTACGACTGTTCAATGATGCTGACAATGATGATCGCATTCCAGGATCCCCACAAAAAGGTTTTGCAGCAATCATGGTAATCGGAATCGTAGTAGAGCTCCTGGCACATATGAAGCCACGACAGTAAGGCTTACCTCCTTCAAGCAACGGCCACCAAGGATCCCTCTAATGGCCTACGACTTGAAGTTGCCCTACGCCCACCAGGTGCAAGGATCTGGTACCGACGCACATGGGGGTTAGGATGAAGGCATTGGGCGTAGGCTTTTGGCTGCTCCAAATCATCCTCCTACTTCCCCCTGACACACTTCTCGTCGTGTGGCACGTCCCAAGGTCCGCGTTCTAAGCACTTGGCCTGGCCCTCGCATGAGGTTCAGGGGTTAGGCAAACGAGTATAATGTCGGGGCCTAGATACTTACCAATACGATTGTGTGGTTCCTTATTATATTTATAGTCTAGTATACCCCAAAACCTTAAACCCTAATTATTAAGGCCCCTACATTAACATTAGACATGGTTTCATTCGAATGTGTCGGAGTTTGGAGCTTCACACCCCAACGCCTCAAAGTCTTCAACCCTAAACCCTTAGCCCCGAACCCTAAAAGCCCTAAGCTAAAAGCCGTAAACCCCTAGACTTCATAGCTTGGAGCCCAAATTCGAAACCATGAACCCCAACACTGAGGGTTTAGGAATTAGAGTTTAGGGTTTCGGGTGTCCAGTCAGACAATGCACGCAAGGCATCCAACGTGGCTAGTGCATCGGACCTTCAGTCACGGTTTAGGGTTTAGGGTTTAGGGTTTAGGGACGATGGAAGGATGAACCCCCCGCAAATCCAGTTTAGACCCTACTTGGAGGCTCATGGGTAGTTATAAGTGGGGTTATAAGTAGGGTAAGTGTAGTTACAACCCATAATATTAGGGGACTTATAACCCCACTTGTAACTACCCTAAACCCTAAACCCTAAACTCTAAACCCTAAACCCTAAACCCTAAACTCTAAGCCCTAAACCCTAAACCCATGAACCTCCAAGTAGACCCTGTGCGCGGCCCGAAACCCTAAACCAAGTCGGAGTTTCCGAAAATTAGGGGTACCTCATTTTGGGGTCCTTATAATAAGGATCCTACTAATGGGGTGCTAAACCCTAAACCCTAAACCCTAAACCCTAAACCCTAAACCCTAAACCCTAAACCCTAAACCCTAAACCCTAAACCCTAAACCCTATAAACCCTAAACCCTATTTTCGAAAACTCCCAAGTCGGAGGGCTCCTGCTTCTGCCAAACACCGGGCCGTCGCTGCGAGGAGCTGGGGCAGGCGGTCTCCTTTCAGGGTTTAGGGTTTAGGGTTTAGGGTTTAGGGTTTCGGATAACCCATAAACACGTTATAAGTGCACGTGTGGTTCCAAGCATGCTGGCGGCGAGGGGGTTGTGAATCCCCACTTGTAACTTGTATCCAGCTGTCGAAGTCCCTCGATCTTTCAGGTTGTGTTTATGATGCAGGGTTTAGGATTTAGGGTTTAGGATGCAGGAGTTCCGGGCTGGGATGCTGGTTTGTGGATTCGAGCCTTCAGGGTCCAGGATCACGGAAGCCAGGTGCGGAGGTCTAGATTATTGGTGCCAGGGCTTTATGCTATAGATTGCTTGGTGTGGCTGCCGATGCTGTTAGTGCTGCTGCTGCCGTCGCTTCCGTCATCATCATCGTCGATTTTACTCTCACTGCTGTTCGTGGTGATGTTGAGGGACAGAGATTCTGTGTGTGTTGGACCCTGTCCCTCCAAATCTCATCAGATCTCTGTGCCGCAGAATGTTGCCAGACATGCAGAGCCAAGAGTAAGTACGCTGCTCGATCGTGTCTCATGTGGGCTGTGGTGGAATGTGGGCCACAGTAGATGCTCCCCTGGCAGCCGGAAGCTTCAAGACACTTGGGTAGTTGTCAAAATTATGGTCCCTTTTGGGGTACCCTAAATAATAGGTGCCGTATTCTAATCAGGACCCGAAAAGGGACCATAATTTTGACAACCACCCACATGCACGTGCAAGTTGACAAATTTGAAGCCTGAGTAACAAGTAATATTCAGTAAAGATTGTGTAGGGCTGCTTAGTTCATACAATACCCCGAAGCCATCCGAAAAAGTATCCTAGTGATTCAGTGTGCTATATTGCATCAACGAGGATCTTGAAAAGGGACCCTACGAGAAATCTGAGCTTAACATGGGATGATTAAAGTTAGTGATATCGCCCCCTTATCGTCCTAGTTCTGATTATACTTACACTCATGAATTTACGAAATCTTGTTAAAATGGTTGCATAAGGCCCCCTACATCATACCCAAATTATGACCCTTGTCTTAACCCCTATCGTGTCCTTTTCAGGAACCCGTCAGGGAACCCTCATTGAAATTATCAAGCTCCAAATAAATTGGAGCTAAACCCGCAACTCTAAACCCTAAACCCGAAACCCGAAACCCTAAACCCTAAACCCACAACCCTAAACCCAAAACCCTAACCATAGTGGAGGCCGCCTCTGGGGAAGCCTTGTGGCCGGTTAAGAAAAAGGCGGGGGCAGGAGGGCGGGGGGGGATGAGGTAGTCTGGGGTTTGGGGGGTATTAACCCTTGAAGTTTAAGGGTTGGGGTTGGGGAGTTATCCGTGGAGAAGGTAGATTTCGCTGTTGGGCTCCTGCAGTTTCTAAGCTAGAAAAAGCGTCCCGTTTCCACCAGAGACCACATAGCATGGTACGAATCGGTGTCCGGCACCGTGAATTGCTTGTAGTGATGTCAAGTTTCGCGTCTGCAGTGCGTATTAAGTCTCATTGGGTTCAGATGAACGGAAGAGCTTTATTGCCCCAAGGCGGATGTACCTAGATATACTACCCTAAACCCTAAACCCTAATCCCTAAGCCCGAAACCACTACTTGGAGGTTCATGGTTAGTTATAAGTGGGGTTATAAGTCCCCTAGTATGGGTTATAACTATAGCTACCCTACTTATGACCCCATTTATAACTACCCATGAACCTCCAAGTACCTTATACTACTTGAACCTTCAAGTAGATATATTGTAGGAACCCCTTCAAGGACGAAGGAGGCTCTGAGGGTTGGGGTTCGGGTCTAGGGATTTAGGGATTTAGGGTTTAGGGATTTAGGGATTTAGGGTTTAGGGGTTTGGGTTTAGTGTTTAGGGGTTAGGGTTATTGGGAAGGATTGAAGAGACGATGACGCGGAGAGTGGTGTTTTTCGGACAATCCGGACACGGGAACCCTGAGCCGCGAAACAGGGTTTACTGTTGTACCGCTGCAGATCTCCAAGTTTCCGGACTCCTTGCTCAGGGCCTAAGGCATGCATCTTGGGGTGCTTAAGATGCACTTTCAGCCCTTATCATCTGAAGCAGCTGTTAAGCTGCGCACCTTAACGGGGAAAAGGGCCTAAGACTTAAACCCAACACCCCTGAACCCTAAACCCCTAGACACTGAAGCCAAAAACCCCGAAACCTAAAAACCCTAAAGGCCCGAAGCCCTAAGCTCCTAAACCCTAAACCCTAAACCCTAAACCCTAAACCCTAAACCTTAAACCCTAAATCCTAAACCCTAAACCCTAAAAGCCCTAAAGCCGTGAAGCGCTCTGGTCTGGAAGGTCTGGGCGTGTGTCCCCAACGTGACGGCGATCAGCCTGTAGCCGAAAGCGGAGCTGGTGAGCTTTCGGGATGCTGGGGCCTTCTGCATTAAGCTTGGTGTTTAAGATTTAGGGTTTAGGGTTTAGGGTTTAGGGTTTAGGGAGGGTTCGGGGTATAGGGTTTAGGGTTTTTTCGGTTTGGGGCCAAAGTGTATAGAGCTGACGCTTACTGTTGGCAAGTATGGTTCCCATGAAACATACGGAGAATTTCCCCAAAGGATACCACTTGGGTCCCCGACTTGGGGTGCAGTGTAGCGGAAAAGGTTCAGCAGCCAGTAGCTTTCCACAGACCTACTGTCGGCATCCCCTGGGACTCCCTATTGCTTTAGGCTCAATGTAACCAAGAACCCTGTTCCTGTCAGGCAGATTTGATAAGGCCGCAATTTGTGGGATACGCCAATCTCCTCTCTTTCCGGCACAACAGCCCGAAGAGCGAAGTGTTACTACAAGGGGTATTATAAGGCTTCTAAGGGTTACTATACTTTAGGCATGGTTACTATGAAGGGTTGCTAGACCAGGTCAAAGCACGCACATGACGCCCGACATGCCTGAATGCATCATCTAGACTAGCTTCCCAAAGGGTCTAAGTACCAATACAGTAGAAAGAAGGGCTTCTATACTAGGAATTACTGTTTGGTTTGGGCATTATCCCCCATTTTGGTCCTTACAACCCTTTGGGACAGCCAGGTCAGTATGCCAAGAGTTTGGATGCCCGCATGAATTGGGATCGCAGCTTAAAGTTCTGGGGTTTGGAATCAGCCGTGTAGCAATGTTTTCTGAATCGTTGGTAGAATCCTGATCATACACCGGTAGCAACGCTATCATTAATAATCCCCTCTAGTAACCCAACCCTAAGAGGAACCACCCTAAACCCTAAACCCTAAACCCTAAACCCTAAACCCCCTTTAGAGTTGGCCAGTTTTCAGCTTCAGGGTTTAGAGTTACGTCTCCGAAGCTCGTCGGCTGTTTGTTCCCGAGACCAATGTCAGTCCGGGCCATTGTACATACACGTGCCTGCAGCTTCTCTGCACGTTACTTGCATTTCATAGTCATTCTAAACCCAAATCCAAAACTGCAACCCTCAACCTAAACCCAAAACTGGAATTCTAAACCTCATATAACATTTAACGCTTAAACCTAAGCCGAATACAGAAACTCGAAAGATGGGCGAGCGGAGGTCACTGAGAGTTTCGGCATACCTGGGAGAGTTCCCGGGCGCTTTTGGCATAAGGCACGTTGCAGCAATCACTTCCAATCGATCCACCAGTGTCCACTCTAATACTGAATGCAGGTTATGTCGCTTCTGCTTGCCACCTTGTATTGTTGAGCTCCACATGAGATGCGCTTTTGCAAGGTAGCGTTGGTTCTGCGTATGCTCGCTATAGCTCGTCCTATATCCTACCTGCGCAGCGCTGCTTGTATCGGCTGTAGTGCACCGTTTAGGACCAGTACCCTACCCTGAGTTCGCTAAGTAATAGGCATTACGTCACAGCACATCCTCACCTCCTTCGCAACGAATAGCTAGCCAACGCTGAAGTATGAACCTAATTATAGATAAACCCTAAACCCTAAACCCTAACTGCAGAGCTGGCAGAGCAGGTGCAGCGTCGAAGATGGATTTCGAAAAAAGATGCTTTTCGGTTCACTTGCGGATTGCGAGTTTGGCCTTGGGCTAAGGCTCCGGTTACGGAATTACTTTATTGCGTTGCTTACTACTTAGTCCGCCAATACCCAACCTTTAAACTCTTTGGGTTCTTATGATTTAGTAGTAATCTCAAAGTTTCACCTTTGATTTCCCTACCTTTTTTGGGCAAGTAAGATAAGTCCCCTGATGTTGTGAGTACTGAGATCCTGAACCTGGGTCTGGTTTCACCCCTGCAACCCGCACTCGGAATCCTGAATCTCAAAGGCCTTTGCTAAAGAGTTCTATTCGAGACCCTTAGGTCCTATAAGCTCTTTCGCTCTGCAGCACACCCTAAACCCTAAACCCTAATGCCCTAATACCCCCAACCCCGAGGAATTTAGGGTGTTAGGGTTCAGGGTTGCGGGTTCAAGGAGACTCCACATCCTACATGTGAAGCTCCAGAACAACAAAGCCAAGCCCCGAAAGCCTCACACCGCGGACACCACACTACACCAACACGAGGCATATACCAATACTAATGCATATACTTTATCTTGTACTTATACTATAATGGAGACTACGATACTATGCTATGGCTATGCTATGCAATGCTAGATTACACTGCACTATCACTAGACAAGACTCGACTAGACGAGACGAGACTAGGCTTAGACTAGACTACACCCGACCAGAGTAGTTATATACTGACTAGACTATACGATATAATTTAATACGGTGCTAGACTTTAATATTTGATACTGTACCCTACCATACTACATAAACCTGTAATCTAGTATAATAACCCTAAAGCCTAAACCCTATAAACCCTAACAATAGGGCTAAACCCTAGACGCTAAACCCTAAGCCCTGAAAAGCAAATCCTAACAATATGCTTCACTCCATAAAACTGTAATCTACTTTAATAACCCTAAAGCCTGAACTCTAAACCCCAATAATAGGCTTCACGTTTTCCTCGCCCTTTGGAGGAGCTTGAGGGCTTCGAGAAGGAGACGGAGCCTCGCCTTCTTGGAACCCGCAAGGGAGCTCTCAAAGGATTCCGCTTAGGAGCCCTTTGATGAAGGTGTCCGTTTAAGGGTTTAGGGTTTAGGCTTTCAAAGGATTCCGTTTAGGAGCCCTGTAATGAAGGTGTCCTTTTAAGGGTTTAGGGTTCAGGCTCTCAAAGGATTCCGTTTAGGAGCCGTTTAATGAAGGTGTCCTTTAAAAAGGTTTAGGGTTTGGGCTTTCAAAGGATTCCGTTTAGGAGCCTGTTAATTAATGAAGGTGTCCTCTTAAGGGTTTAGGGTTTAGGCTTTCAAAGGATTCCGTTTAGGAGCCTGTTAATTGATGAAAGTGTCCTTTAAGGTGTTTAGGGTTTAGGCTTTGAAAGGATTCCGTTAGGGAGCCCTTTAATTACGGTGTCCTCTAAAGGGTTTAGGGTTTAGGCTTTCAAAGGATTCCGTTTAGGAGCCTGTTAATTCATGAAAGTGTCCTTTAAGGTGTTTAGGGTTTAGGCTTTGAAAGGATTCCGTCTGGGAGCCCTTTAATGAAGGTGTCCTTTAAAGGGTTTAGGGTTTAGGCTTTCAAACGATTCCGTTTAGGAGCCTTTTAATTGATGAACGTGTCCTTTAAGGTGTTTAGGGTTTAGGCTTTGAAAGGATTCTGTTTGAGAGCCCTTTAATGAAGGTGTCCGTCAAAGGGTTTAGGGTTTGAAAAAATTCCTCTTATGAGCCCTTGAATAAAGGTGTCCTGTAAAGGGTTCCTGTAAAGGATCCGAGTTTAGGGATTAGGGCCGATTAGGGTTGANNAGGGTGTAGGGTTTAGTGTGGGTTTAGGGCTGGTTCAGAGTTATGGGAACCCATAGGAGATAGGAGCCCTTCAAGGAATCCGCTAAGGAACCCTTATGAGAGCCCGAAGCCCCTTATAGGAACCCTTGAGAGGGAATTCAGGAAACCCTGCCTCCTCTAAAAACCTTTGCAAAAGGTTGAATATGGAACTGATGAAAGAGCTTATCGGTGCTTTTCAAGGTGTCGGTTGGGGTTCAGCCCGAATTAAACCCTAAACTTCCTAAACCCGAATTCCTGTGGCTTGCCGGTGTCACGGCTTCATCTTCGGCTGTTTTGTTCAGATTTTGGATCGGATTTTGGTTTGTGCAGGGCCTGTGCGCGTTAGAGGTCTGGGTTTGGGCTTTGGCGTGCTGTTCGGGTACTGCCAAGAAAGGAAGGGTTTAAAGCTCCGGGAGCACCGCGTGTATGCACTATGGTCGAGTCATCTGTCAAGGGGTTATGAGGCAAGTCCCTGCACAAGATGTGAAAGTTGCTCGTGCTTGCCATGTGGGGTGAGAAGGGACACCGTAATGGTACCATCTCCCATGCTGACATTAGGCTTTGCAGCTCGTTGAAATTTTATCCCAGGACAGACCGACAGGGCATCGAAGCTTGAGGTTTTAAGGCTTATAGGGTACAGGATTGAACCCTAAACCCTAAACC